GCTCATGATTTTCAAGTCTAGCCACAACTAAAGCAGCCTCTTCGAGTGGCGAAGTCTGAGGTTCCGTGTTCCCTGTGTCATTCGACGCTTCGATGAGACGGTCACGCTCTTGTTCCTCGTAGCTCGCGCGGGTGGTGAGCCTCCAAGTCAGGATAGCCCAGGCGAATGTAGGTGGTGTAGCCGGACTGGCGCCCAACAATTTGGCCTCTCCGAAGATTGTGGTAATGCTCTCTACAACTGTGCCGTTGAGGATGTACGATGAGGAGTCCCAGGCGTTGCAGTTACCGGATTCGAGATCATCCATGATTTTGTCCACTTTCAAGATGGTTAGAGACATGAGTGAAGTCAGCAATTGTATCACCGGAATGAGAGGTTCCTGGCGAGCCGTGACTGCAGGGAATTCGCGGAAAAAGCCGCGGAAACTGAAGGCTTTGAGCCAGTCCTCGATGGTAGCCGCAGGTAGGAAGTCCTTCGCAACCAGGTCTGCGTGTACCAAGGCCAGGTGAAGGATATGCAGCATCTCTGTAGTCTGCGCGACGACCCATTTCTCTGACGCAGGCTCTAGAATCGATTCGTCGACGTCCCAGCCATAGCCGGTGTCTAAAGCGTCGCATCTTTTGGAGAATGCTTTGAGCAACTCGTCTAGCGCCTTTCCGCCCGAGGGGCCATCTTGCGCCGCTGCGATAGCCTGTCCAAGCTCTTCAATCCAGCCGGCGCCAATGCTAAGGTAGTCGTTGCCGTAGATGGTCTGGCTGCGCAAGTTGGATGCACAGCCCCACGAGACCAGAAGCTGGCTGATGCGTATGATGGACGCGCACGTCGAATGGTAGACGTCGAGGATGTGGAGGCGGCGCTGGTCCTTTGCATCGAGATGCGCGGTCTTGGAAGCGAGCGGTGAGGCCATGATGGATGAGTTTGGAACGAAAGTCGAGGCGCCTAGATTTCCAACTCCGGCAGCTTCCTGTACGCTGAGGGCCTCCTCTTCAGTGAGTCCACTCAACAGCTGTGCGGTTGGCCGGCCCTGCCATTCCTGGACGACTAACTGCAGCGCTGCATATTCTGATATCTGGGCCTCTTTGGACAACCACAGGCTGTCGTCCTTGATCTCTGCTACATCGTAGTGTTCGCTCTGGGCGGGTGTGACGCTAATGGGCGCTGTCTTCGATTCGAATTTGCTCTTCTCCTGCGACGACGGGTCGGGAAAGGGCTTCCACGGGTGGGCTAGGATGTCTCTGTTCTCGTTGGCGGTGAGGAAGGCGCGTAGGGCGTCGCTTTTGGACGCGGTTTCGGGGTCGCAGAGGGCGCGGTATGCGATGTCCCAGGTCCTGCTACTGTCAGCTACGTTGCTGCGCTCGATGCAGGTAAACATACACAAGCTGCTGCTCGCCCTTGAGGCACTTGCCCAGGTCGAACTCGGGGGATTGGATGGGGGCCATGGTTGCGCTGCAGTGCGCGAGTAGGGAATCAGCTACCCAAAGGCCATGAAGGTGCTGGAGAGGCGTGGGGGTCGTGTTGCCGAATGTTTGGCGTCAGTGTCTACGAAAGTCGCGAAAGCCAAAGCTCACGCGAAAGTCGAGCTAGTACGTGCAGGGATCATCACAAGGGCTCTTTCTTGCGATCCCTCCCCGACACCTCACACACACACATGGTTCAATGCTCTAAATAGAGACCAGATGCGCATAGAGACATTATCGCCATCTAGTTTCGCTCGTATTGGTTCGCGTCGCAATGGGGTTTCGTCTGATTTCCAGCTACCTTCTGGCAACTATGCAGCAATTGTCCGCAGTCTGCCTGCACCGAGAGAATGACCCGCTCTCTGGTATACACAAAATCCAACTAATCTGTCACATGTCCTACATCCAAGAGGTCGCGCAATAGCGGCGTTGCTGTACCAAACCTGAGGTACAGCACCGTAGCACTAAGGACCGATTCATGCCACCTCCGTGCTAACTCCGCAGCCTCAATATCTGAATAGTGCATCATTGAGTCACCCCACCACTCTGGTAGACAGCCATTCCTTCGCACCTTCCCGTCCCAAAGTGCACTCACATCTCCCGGCGCGCACTCCGTTAATCGGCCACTAATATATTCCAAACGTTGACCTCGCCGTCAAAGGACCGGCTCGCTTTCTGTCATCTGACCGCCGGAGGGTACTCAGACGAAGCTATATAACAGCCACCGGGCTTCCAACGCGACGGCAAAGCTGACGCAGAACACCGCCCAAAATGCCTGCCCTAGAACTCATCGACCACTCGCCCAGCAACCCCACACCATCTCCGCCGATACCCACCGCTTCCAATGTCGTACTCATTGACAATTACGACTCGTTCACTTGGAATGTCTACCAATACCTCGTCTTCGAAGGCGCGAAAGTGACCGTATACCGAAATGATGAGATTACCCTCGAAGATCTCATCGCGAAAAACCCTACACAACTGGTAATCAGTCCAGGTCCAGGACACCCTGAGAAGGATGCAGGCATTAGCAATGCGGCCATCAAGCACTACAGCGGCAAGATCCCGATTTTCGGCGTGTGCATGGGCGAGTGAGTTCTCGGTTCCCGGTGGGCGCAACAGGCGGGGCAGTGCTGACACGATCAAGACAGTGCATTTTCTACAGCTACGGCGGTACTGTAGACGTCACAGGCCAGGTCCTGCACGGCAAAACGTCGCCCCTCAAGCACGACGGCAAGGGCGTCTTCGCAGGCGTCTCGCAAAATGTCCCCGTTACGCGCTACCACTCCCTCGCCGGCAACCACGGCACTCTCCCAGACTGCCTCGAAGTAACTGCGACCATACCCGCCAACGAAGAAGCCGAAGTCAAGGAAGTCGTTATGGGCGTGCGACACAAGGAATATGTCATGGAGGGTGTACAGTTTCACCCGGAGAGCATCTTGACAGAGGACGGTCGCCTCATGGTGAGGAACTTCCTCAAGATGCAGGGAGGCACCTGGGCCGAAAATGAGCAACTACAGAAAGAGGCACATGCCCAAGCTGTCGGTGCTGGTTCCAACGGCACAGCAACCGGCGCAAAGAAGGACAAGCAGACATCCATACTGGAGAAGATCTACGACCATCGCAGGGCCTCGGTTGCTAAGCAGAAGGAGATTCCGTCCCAACGACCCAGTGATCTACAGGCTGCGTACGATCTCAACCTAGCGCCTCCTCAAATCAACTTCCCCGAGCGTCTTAGGCAATCGCCCTTCCGACTGTCACTCATGGCCGAAATCAAACGCGCATCACCCTCCAAGGGCATAATTTCACTGTCCGCATGCGCTCCCGCTCAAGCAAGGCTGTACGCAAAGGCCGGTGCAAGCACGATATCCGTACTTACTGAGCCGGAATGGTTCAAGGGCAGCATCGACGACCTCAAAGCTGTTCGACAAAGCTTGGAAGGCATGCCGAACCGTCCCGCCGTCCTGCGCAAGGAGTTCATCTTCGAGGAGTACCAGATCCTGGAAGCTAGGCTCGCGGGTGCCGATACAGTGTTGCTGATCGTCAAGATGCTGGATGAAGCAGTCTTGAAGAAACTCTACGACTACTCCCGATCACTTGGAATGGAGCCTCTCGTCGAGGTCCAGAATGCGGAAGAAACAGAAATTGCGGTCAAGCTGGGCGCTCAGGTCATTGGTGTGAACAACCGTAACCTTGTGAACTTCGAGGTCGACATGGAGACTACCAACCGTTTAATCAACATGGTTCCGAAAGAGACGATCTTGTGTGCGCTTAGTGGTATTGCCGGGCCCAAGGATGTCGAACCATACATCAAGAGTGGAGTTGGCGCAGTGTTGGTGGGTGAAGCGCTGATGCGCGCATCCGACACCGCTCAGTTCATCGCGGAGCTTCTGGGTGGCTCATCTACCAAGAAGACGGGAACAGCATCACGCCCGATGGTGAAGATCTGTGGTACTCGCAGTGCTGAGGCCGCAAAAGCCGCAATCGAAGCAGGAGCTGACCTCATCGGCATGATCCTCGCGCCAGGAACCAAGCGAACAGTCACAGCTGAGACAGCTCTGGAAATCTCGGAAACCGTACACAAGACCAGAAAGCCTGTGGTCTCGAAATCCGGGCTACTTGCTGAATCAAAGACCGCCACCGATTTCTTCGAGCACGGCGCAGCACGACTGGTGTCAAGTGACAGTCACGCGCTTCTCGTAGGCGTGTTCCGAAATCAGTCACTAGAGTACGTACTTGAACAGCAGCGACTGCTGAATCTAGACGTCGTACAATTCCATGGCCAGGAGCCATTGGAGTGGGCAAAACTTGTTCCTGTACCTGTCTTGAGAGCCTTCAACCCACACAACCTTGGCATTGGCTCAAGAGGGTATCACGCCCTACCACTTCTGGATGCAGGCTCCGGCGGCTCGGGTCAGCAGTTGGATCTTTCAGATGTCAAGGCAGTCTTCGCGAAAGACGATGGTATCAAGGTCATATTAGCGGGAGGATTGAACCCTGAGAACGTCCAATCTACGCTCGCTGGTCTCGATGAATACCGGGACCGCGTGCATGCTGTAGACGTCAGCAGCGGTGTGGAGGAAGATGGCCAGCAAAGTCTGGATAAGATACGGGCATTTATCAAGGCGGCCAAGAACCAGTAGTGGCGGTTCAGAACACGACCATCGAAGCTGAAGGTTGTCTTCCGAATTATCAAATGTAACACAAATGGCCCAGCACCCTTCTAATCTCGCTTTGAACACTTCTTTTGGTCAGTTATTTCTTACAAGTCAGGCAGCTCAATATTCCAATGATGGTGGTTTGCGCCGTCGCAAATAGCGGCCTGGAGTCGCTGTGTCGGCGTCTCTTACCTCTTGATGGCAGCCGCACGGTCCGGGCAAACGCTATATCACTTCGACCGCTACTCACCACCACAAGGTAAGACCAACGAGGGTCTCGCCAGATTTAGACCCTCAGTCTGGACATCATAAGCCCTCATCTACGTCGTCAAGCAAGTTTACACACCATCACTCCTACACTCTACAATCCAATCACCGCGCCGCTACAATGGGGGTGTTGGACAAGCTTACTATTGCCGTCGTCGGTACCCATCCCCATGATGCTAAACAGATCAAGGCCTGGATCGAGCGAAACGGCGGCAAATACTCTGTGAAGATCAACAAGAGCGTCACCCACCTCATCGCCAGTAAAGAGGCATACAAGAAACCCGCCGACGCAGTACAACAAGCCACCGACCTAAACATCCACGTAGTCAGCTATGACTGGTTCGACGACTCGTTGCAAGCGAAGAAGAAGCTTGGTACTAGGAAGTACACGTGGGAAGTGCTTATGAAAGAGAGGAAGAAGAAGAAAGAGCTCAAGAGGATAGGTACTCTGGCGGATGGCAGTAAGTTCAGGAAAGGTTGTGAGAACATCGAAGGGTTGACTGGATCAGGTACGTCGAAGGCTTCTCGTATTGTTGCGAAAAAGCCCAGGAAGAGCAAGAGTTTCTTCTTTGCCACGTCTGCCCCGGCAGTTCCTTCAATTCCCTTCATTTCCGCGAAAGAAGATCTCTTGCGTAGGAGGGCGGAGAGAGAGGCTGCATTGGCAGAGGGTGCTGGAGCTGGAGCCTGTGAGGGCCAGGCAAATAACTCTATTGAAGTCATGGATGACACTTCAAGCCCGGCCAGCCAATCTCCAAAGTCTTTCTCTCTTATCCATACACCTCTCAAGAACTCCAAGACCTCTACTACCTCCAAGAAAGTCCCACAAGCTAAGAATTCGCACTGGAAAGAGGATTATCACTACTATCAAGATACGGACGGCTTTGAGTACAAAATCCTGCTTGTACGCGTGGACAATCCTCCCTATGGCTCTGCAAACGTAAGCTCTGACCGTACAAAATGCTTGCGAGACATATACTGACCTCGCACTGCCTCTACAGTACCACATTGGGCTACTGCAGAGTCACACAAAGCCGCATGTGTACTGGGCGCTTGTACAGTACAAGCCTGCCAAGATCTTACCGGCAGCGGAGAGAGAAGAGAAGGAAGGCGTGAAGCGACAAGTATCTCTTAGCAGCGACGAAACCACTCAGCACCCCGAGGCCGACCGCCTACTCTCCCTCATCACCAAACCAGCCCCAACACCCGAGGCCCCGTACAACGGCGAGCTATGCCCCCGCGGCAGTGACTTCGCTACCGCCATGCGCTCATTCCGCCACGCCTTCCGCGATCTTACCCTCCTCTCATGGGAGGAACGATTCGACGACGATAAAACCCTCCAAAAAGCCCGCGCCCAAATCCTGAACATCGAGCCCTTCTGGTACGGAAAACCGAAAATGGGCATGCCGATGGGCAAGTAGCATCCACTTACAAGAAGACATGAGACACGTGCTAACTTCATACCAGGCCGCCTACCCCAAGCACCAAGCATGTACACAGGCACAACCTCCGGTCTCGAAGTCCTCGGCGACATATCCGATACCTACATCCGTGGCACATCTCACCTCCCCTCAATCTCGCACCCCCTCACCCGCCACGGCATAATCGGCGGTCCCATACACCGCGACGCCGAAGACGCCCGCAAAGCCGAAGAAGCCCGTCTGCAAAAGATCGCCGACGCAGAAGAAGTCGAGAAGAGGAAAGCTGGTCTACTGCGAGCGAGAGATATGAAGGTCAACCATAACCGACCCATGTTCAACGGGCCGATGGGTAGGCCAACGGTGGATGCGTACGGCCAGCATATCAGTTATAGGGGTGATGGCGGGGTGAGTAAGTATTCGGTGCCGATGCCGGTCGGGGGTGGAGGGAATGCTAATAGGGGGTTTGTGGCGCCGGAGTTTGCGCATTTGCTGAGTAAGAGTAATAGGAAGAGGATGCTGTTTCCGAGTGAGAGGTTGGAGTGAGGGGGGTGGGATGAGGGGTTTGGTGCTGGATGTCTTTGGGACTTGAGACATGAGGTGCGAAAGAGAGACTGGTTCTTAGGCGTGGGGATTGTCGATCACATCTGGGCGGCGATATTCTGTTTCTTGCGCAGCATGATTTCGGAAGCTGCGAATATACATTTCCTTTGACTATCGAGAATCAACATTGCAACAGCAACTTGCATCGAAGTTGCTCTATACTTAGTATCCACTCAATGAGGTAATGCACTAACCCAATGTGTCACTAGCTTCCAGTCCCCCCAAGACGCGTCCCTCCATCTCTCTTTCCGTCCCACCTACACCACGCTCCTCATCAACCCTCATGTCGCCTGTTACGCGATACATCTCTCTTATCGAGTACCTAGCTTCGATGAAGATATCGTGCGAAACCCACAAACGCGCAAAGCTATACTACTTGCTGTGGAGCAGGTTGACCCAAGCAGCAAATAGGGTAACGCATACCACAACTGTTTATGCGCAATGCTTGCCACTCCTATTAAGAACTATTGTAATCGCACAGCTAGACTTGATCTATCCTATGGTAATAGATACAATTTAGCAAAGTTGGCTTGCTTGTGAAAAGCACGGTAAAGCAAATCGGATATAAGTTTGCAAGATGTCAAGAGAGGGATATAAAAATGTCTACAGGCCCCGGTATTAATTCCCGCTTGGTAAGTAGGATAAACTCAATATTTGACCCGCTCGAGGTACCCCTTCAGCCTAATCTCAGCAACGATGGTTTGGTGTTTCAACTGCGCTGGCCCGCACTATCAGCAGAATTGTGAGCTACTTTGTGTGGGCTGCCCCAACTCTACTCACGCGGGAAAAGACTGTGCTAATTGCCCTGTACGACGAGGAAGCAGCTTCCGCGGTGAATTAACCGCTCTTCCATCTAGAAGCGCCACTTGAGTCCATCCAGCATATGAAGAAGGTGGTGCATCCGCTCTTTGATACTCTTTTCTGACGATCCAGCAACTTGGCTCAATCCTTGAGATGATCCTAGAGCCTACATTGAGATAAAGACATGCAAAGTAGGGAGCCTGACGTTGATGTAGGCTCTAGAGTGCTCAGCTTTTCCCTTGTATATGGTGGTAGAAAACGTGTTGGTCGCGAATTGACATTGATATGCTTCGCCGTGTACAAGTGCATCTCTAACCTGTATAGTTCCCAGTCTACACCGGGAGTTACGCCGAGCGAGATCCCATATTGGCCAAGAAGGGTGGTGCTTGCGAGTGGGTGCCTCAGGACGATAACCTATGTTGTAGGCGCTGATATTGTAGTAGAGCTGTGGGCGCAGTCATGCTCTCCGGGTTGCACGGTTGCCTGTCTCTGAACGTAGCCAGTCAAAGATGGCGGCAGGGCAGAATCGATATCGCATCGGACACTACCTCTTTCGGGTTCTTACCGTGGGCGACAAGATCTAGACCTGAGTACGCTGCAGGCCTTGTCCTTCTACACCAGGTCAATCGCGCGAACAACACACAGTATTGAAAAGACGAGAGTGTACAATGAGGTCCATCAAAACGATGCTGCCTTGTCGTGATGATGGAGACGGTGATGCTGCGCCTCGCACGGGACTGCACGCTACGCCCGGGCGATCGTCACTAGCGATGACTAAGGGCGTGCCTTGCCCGTTCTTGTGCGATTGGTGACGTGCGTCTTCGCGGCTCAGAGCTCGCTGATTCAACAGGGTCCCTTCATTTAATTTCCCTCGCAGCCCACATCAAAACAAGGCCACGGCAAGGTTCAATTAATCGATTTTGAGCACTGCCAGTCCCAGCGACCCAGCATCCGCTGTTCATTTTACCAAGACTAGTCTTGTTGTGCGGAAGAATTGCTGGACTAATCGCCGCGCGCTCACGTCCGTCGGTCAGCGCAAGATTCCGTAGCTTCCGCGGCTCATCTCAAGCTCCACTGCGGCATTCCGAAACCATCGCTCCAACGCTGCCAATCCATCCCAGCCAACACCAAACATGTCGCAAAACTATCAGCAATACGGCGGCAACCCGTATGGCCAGGCCGAGGCTGGATACGGCGCGCAATCAAACCCATATGGCGGCACTGGCTACGGCTCAGCCAACCCCTATGACGGAGGAGTAAGCAGTCGCGACCGCGCCGCCTGAACTCAAAGACTGACGCGACGAAACAGTATGACGGCCAGGCCCAGCAGCTCAGCCCACCGGCGCCCCTCCAACGTCATGGCGATTCCAACTATTCGCAGCCATCACAATATTCGCAACCCGGCGCAAACCAGCAACCACCCAACGTACCGCATACCGACGTGCCCATGAACAACATGCCTGCGTACGGCGAGCCGACCGCAAACACCGGCATGGAGGCGCCAGGACCGCAGCCGCTCAGCCGCGACGACTTCTTCGCGCGCATCGAAGGCGCAAAGTCGCGCATCGGCCAGCTCACTTCCGACATCCAAGCCATTGCAAGCGTCCACCAACGCATGCTATCGTCACCCGACAACCGCTCCACCGCCGAGCTCGAGAGCATCGTCACCGCCACGCAGATCAGGAACACCCAAATCAAAGACGAGATCAAGTTCCTCGAGAGGGATGCCGTGCGCGACCCCAACGACCGGACCAAGAGGACGCAGGTGGAGGCGCTGAAGAGGACGTTCAAGACACAGCTAGAGGACTTCCAGAGGGAGGAGGCAGACTACTCCAAGAGGTATCGCGAGGCTGTCGGGCGCCAGTACCGCATCATCAACCCGGATGCGACGGATGCCGAGGTCAACGAGATTGCCAACTCGGATCTGGGTGACGAGGGCATCTTCACACAAGCTGTAAGCTGACACAAACCGCACGAAACGAGACCTACGTCACTAACAACCCGCAGCTCAAGTCGAACCGCAGCGGCCAAGCCTCGAGCGTCCTTGGCGCCGTCCGCGCCCGCCACAACGACATCCAGCGCATCGAGAAGACCATGGGCGAGCTTGCCCTCCTCTTCACCCAGCTCAACGAGCAGGTCGTCTACCAAGAACCCATCATCCAACGGACCGAGGAGCAAACCGTACAAGTCAAGGACGATACCGAGAATGCGAATAAGCAGCTGGACGAAGGCATCAAGTCGGCCAGGCGCGCGCGCAGGCTCAAGTGGTGGATCCTCTTGACTGTCATCCTGATTCTGGCCGTTATCGCGCTGGTACTTGGATTATACTTTGGATTGAAGAACAAGGACAAATAGAGGATGTAATGACCATGTGGCGGTGTGAAAAGAGGAGGATGCGATATCATGTTGGGACTATGTTTCTGTATAGGGAAGTGGATGACTTCTCGTTGTTTTCTTATTATTAGTAATGATCCGGGCTGCACTCCGCAGTGACGAATGTGTATACAAAGGAGGTTTCTTGGTTGTATCTGAATGTATGCGCGTGGTTCTATCGAGCTGTAAACACAATACAAGATAAAGTCTACTTTTAGAACACCCGTTCGTGAGGTACGAGGCGGTTCCAAAAACACGAGCGCCTTTGCGAACGGAAGTCGGCAAGGAATAGTTCTTAGCGCTGGTGGTATGATGGCAAAAAGGCCGTAAAACAAAGACTACGTTCCCAACATGAAAGTCTCGACCGCTAATGAGATTCTGGACCGGCTGGCGTAGGTACAATCGATAGAGCTGCGGCAAGGCAGCGGGGGATCCGTTTGGGGAGAGGGCGTGCTCTTGAACTCGATCCCAGATGTGCTGGCTGGACATGTTGTGTTGAGAAGGCTGGCCAGGGCTCTAATAATAAGATGGCAAACTAGCCTGCCAGAAAACCGCCTCCCAGCATTTGAGATACGGAGGCTGATGATTAGCCGATGAATTGCCAATGAAATGCCTCACCAGAATCCAAGGCTCGTGATGTCAAGAGACAGTGCCAGGCGCGGACCGACTACCTCGTTTCACAGGACAGCGTAGGCAGTATCGCCGTTTCGGAAGCGAGCAGCGACCAGCGACCAGCCAGCCATGCGATCCATGGATGCAACAGCAGCCCACGATGCCTCCACATGACGTCGTCAATCCAATCTTAGCCGTGGGCCGTCATTTCGGCATCACGCCTGCGCGACATGGGCAGCGGCATGCGTTGAGACGTTTGATACCGATCGCCAGCGTCTGCGCAACAGAAAACAGTGAATGATTGACGGCGGACGCGTGTTTCAGCGCGCTTCACTGCCGTCGGTCCAAGCATGATCGCCACGGCGAGCCAGTCTGCTTAGCTAGGCTTGACGGTGGGCTCATGCGCGTTGGCGGCTGCTTGGAGGTGGGCTTGGTGCGGCTTGTTCAGGGGTTGGCGCTGCTTGCATGCTTGTCTCCCAGCCAGGATCGATCCCCACCGGGGTCGCAGCCTATCACAGGCGGAAGGCGCAGTCCACTAGGGAATTGGACGCGTCGCCTCCCTCGCAGTCGAATGCTTAACCTGCTGCGTTCCCCGTTGAATCCTTCCTTCTTCAATCTCACGACTCCAAGTGCTTCTTGCTACTTACACCTTTATTCTAATCGCAACTTCTAACACTCGTTTCACGGGAGTTGCTCTTTACTTCGGATTCTTCAAAGTATTTTACTTGTTTACTTCGGCCTCGCAGTCGCTATAACAATCGCTCAACTGTAATTATCATCAACACCCACACGACCATCATGAAGACCTTTGCCATTGCCGCCGTCCTTGCGGCCTCCGCTGCTGCAACCCCCGCGGCCACCCAGAAGCGGGCCAACATCACCCCCGTCACTGTCAAGGGAAATGGTATGTAAACTCATCATCACTGACACAAGTCTGTACTAACATCCCCAGCTTTCTTTGCTGGCAACGAGCGTTTCTACATCCGCGGTGTCGACTATCAGCCCGGTGGCGCCTCCGACGCAAAGGACCCCATCGCCGACGAGGCTGGCTGCAAGCGCGACATTGAGAAGTTCAAGGAGCTCGGCATCAACACCGTCCGCATCTACACTGTCGACAACAGCGCCAACCACGATGCCTGCATGG